ATCTATCATTTCCTTCTTACATTCTGTCTGAGTCTAAATATACGAGTGCGTTTTCAAAAACTATTCACGTTTACTTGTCTGTATATACTATACTACCTATATTTTGTATTTAGGCAATTTGGATACTTAACAATATTTCCGCATGCGTACCTGCGTGTTTGTTTACATCTGCTTATCTCATTCTATTCACGTTTATATACTACCTTTTATCACCGGTTTCTCAATTCATTCACCTTTCTGTCCATCATAGGTGTACGAGTAGTATTACTGTTAGCGTCTCTAAAAGGTATATCGTGTCTAAACTGAAGCCAAATTCGTTATGTTCACTGGTTAAGGTATCAATCCATTTCGTCGCTTCCATTGCCCTGTATCCGAAATCTGAAGATATCTCTAGACATTGAAAGTGCGAACAGGAACAAGCTTCCCATGCATATTAAATAAAACGTCTCAGTTCTAAATTAGCCGCTGGTTATCCGGGTCGATAGGGACCTGAAAAAGGCGCAGTGCAAAACGGCCGAAACGTATTGATAGTAACAACAAAGATGACGACATTCGTTCGCATGTAAATAATGGAGATATGAGATGCATTCCAGAGGTTTTAAGACTTTTCAGGAGTGACATTTAATAATTTCAAAGTACCTGACTCTACCTTTACAAGAGCCAGATCAATTGGAAAATTGGCGTAGTGTTGTCATATTTAAGCGGGAGTTTACAAGACTCCACTTTACAGCCTTGGTAGAGCTCAAAAGCATTTCCGAGCCCTTATGGATGACGAATTATTGTTCACTTTCAACGCTTCTCCCACAGGTGGAATGTGGCAAGCCTCTCCCTGCTCTACCCTTATTTCCATGGAGAGTGCTCGGACGAACTACATTCCCTGGTCCTGCAAACGTTCATGTCACGAACATGCTATAACGCTTGCATTGTAGCAAACCACCATTATTCCCGCCATATTTCATCGATGAGAAGTGAGTTCCACTATATAGGCGTCTTCCCGCGAACCGCTGCCCTGTGGAATCGACACGCAACAGGATGTTTCCCCGATCACTACAATCTTAACCTATTCAATGCTAAGGTTAGTCGTTTTCTCCCTCATCTATACACACAAATGGCCTCCTAACGTAATTCTCTACCTCGAGTGGCCCCCGGGCCTTGTAAAGGGCGACTCTCACTGTAAAAAAAAAGCAGTACAAATCTCTAATCCCCTTCCATGTAGGATCTTTAGTGAAAACCCCCCTTCTGGAAGTCATCCTAAGTGACGGTGTCCAGAACACTTGACAGAGCTTCCTTCAAAATGGCTTCCTCTGAGGTTCTCCTCCAGCTTGACGAACAACCAAAAGTCACTGGGAGCAAGCTGAGGGAAATTTTGACGGCCATCACTATCAGTATATATCTTTATTGCATAGTGAGCTTGCCAATTGTGTTCGCATCCCGATTGCATTCTGAAAACTAGTCAGCTTTGTGAAGCAGTGTTTAGAAGGGTGTGTTGAAAGAGCTCTTATAGTCGTCTGCTTCAAACTGGTAGGACAAAAGTTGACAAGTCAGTTTATTAGATATATAGTAATGATACACTAATGTTACAATAATCTGGGATAGTTATAACTGCTTCTGCTAAAAATGTTTTAAAAACATCTGCAATCCACCTCTTCGATCATCTCATGTTATTTCTATTTTTATTTACTAAAACGTACTTTGTTTGGACACAATTATAAGAAACCCAGTTAGGATCGAACTCGCTGCTCATTAGTACAGTTCAATAAGATTAACAGGCTAGACGCTACCCCACGCTGAAATGCCCTTCTATTCTAATATATTAGATAATAAACTAAACATTCTGAAATGTGTTTCGATTCGTCGAGGCTGAAAATGCAGATGAGATACTCTTTTAACCGAAATTGTTCATTCTGTCTATTCCTGCTGTTAACCTCCACGAAGTCAAGTCATAAAGTCTCTCACTCGTAAAAACGAAAGATCTTTTGTTACGAGGTTATGGCTCTCTTCATTCTCTAATCTAGTGAAAAGCAGTAGACTGTTAATGAGAGTGGCGGCAAAACTAGAAAATGGCGGCGATGTCGAAATAGCAGTAGAGAAACAAAGAAAGGGAAAGATCTATGAAGAAGATCAGATAAAAAAGTTTTATTTTTTATAGTAATGTTCATCCTGTACCATGCCTAAGAGCCATTCAAGGTAGAGGATTACAGGTTAAGTGGTAAGAGACGCCGTTTATTGTCTTATATGTAGGGAAACATGCACATTAAATTAGGAAAAAAAGGTTTAAACTGCAATTTCATATAAAACCTCCTATATGGTAGTGAATCTATTCTGAAGGGCAAATACGTAATGGAGTACAAATAGAGTTGGTTTTACTAAGCGGCGTAGGTTTTGAAAAAAAATAAAGTTTTATTATTCAAAATACAAAATACTCCCCACGATTTTAAAACAATTTAATCAAATATTGTGAGGATTTGAAATTCTAGTGCTTTAAAATTGCCTCAAGGGGAAAGGTTCTAAAAGAAATGTAGTTCATTAGTAAAATTTTGAGAATACTATGCAAAGAACATGTTAGCAACAAAAATGTTATGAATGTAATTGCAGCAAAAAAAAAGAAACTAATTTTACTCAGAATGACAACTATAAAGTTGAAGAGAAAAAAATCTTGCAGGATTTCGGGCATACGAAAAGTTAGAGGACTAGAGGGAAGTATAGAGTATTCTACCAAACGAACTTGTGTAAATAGATGACAGAATAGGGTCTGGGATAGATTGTAAAGCTACAATAATTGTTTAGAGAAACTGTTGTGGTACGATCCACCTAATTTACATAGTGGAGTACCGACCATATAAATGTGGTTGGTACCGGGAAGACGCGGGAGGAAGAAGAGATCAAACCAATTCTACAGGAACGGTCTTCCCAAGAATATACCAAAACAATCTGTAAATATTGTGTACCCTTTCTTGTTTCAATACATTTTATTTAAGTACATTTTGTGTTGTATTATTATTATTCCATGCTTTATTCAAGTTTCAACAGAAACAAAGGATAGTAGATTGTGGAGTTCCATGATCGCCCACATTCCAAGTGTTAATAATATGCTATGTAAGTAATATGCTATTTTCAAGCAACTCAAGAAGAGTATATTTGGAAAATATTTTTGCAACAGATTAATAGACAATTTTAAATTAAAGCGGTTTACAAGACAATGTTTTCTACATAAATATGTGAGAGTACGTGCGATACCCTGCCCGCTTCAACCGACAATCAGAGTATGTAGCACGGTTTGGGTGGCTAAGGCGGTACTGCCACACCTGGCGCCACGAGCATCTATTTCCATAGAACAGAGTATTTTTTGTGGAGACGTGTCAAACTCTGCGATTTTTATGAAACTGCAAGTCAGAAACGTTTGCTTTGGATCGTTAAACAAAACACAATATATAAATCAAAAACAGAGATGAAATTCGAAGCATTTTTGTATGCTTATTTTCGTCTATGTTTCAGTTATTCAAAAGATATTTTATCTATGAAAAATATCATTATTTTTGCTAAGGTTTCATTATATATTTCTTTTCTATTCCTTTGTCATATCATATATTTTATATTTTATTTGCCTAAAAAAAGCTACCGTCCCAGATTGAACTGAGTAAGGCAGAAAACGTTAGAGGTTGAAGGTGAATCAAATTCAGCAAATTATCTGGAGAAGACATTTACACAATATAATGTTAAGCAGCAGAAAGTCGTAAATAGCTATTCAGTATTTCTTTTCATGCATTATTAAACTAGATTAATTACTTAAAGTTGTTTTTCAAATTAAAAAGAAGCCCCGTGTAATTTTCACGGCTTCTACCATAGCTAATTAATTTCTATTTACAAGATGTTTCAGTGGTACTGAAGTGAACAATAAAGTGCATCAGTGTCATCGCACACGCATCTATCTATCTATCTATCTATCTATCTATCTATCTATCTATCTATCTATCTATCTATCTATTCATTTGCATCTTTTCTCTCTATGATATATAGCTATGTATAAATAATGAAATGGATTAAGTCCGACAATTATTTAATACATTTTCTGTTTATACTTTATTTTTAAAGTTACAATGTATTTAAGTAAATACTCCGTTTTTAATTAAACAGTACTAATTAAATTTACCGTCTTGAATGTTCGAGAAATGTCGTGGTAGATATGTGTTTGTCGACAAGAATAGAACCTCTATTCCTATACGCAAACTGTCATTTGATCTGACGTGTTATTAAATTCAGCTACAGAGAAGCGTCTGGTTAGCAATGTTCAAATTACTGTTTATAAACATACAATATTCGACGATTTTTCTCGATGGATCATATCTGCTCACGAAACGTATCTTAACGTAAATAATGACAACAATGTATGTATGTATATATGTATGTATGTATATATATATATCATTTGCATCTATCTATCTATCTATCTATGTACCACTTGCGTTTTAGATGTCTCTGTCTCTGTCTGTCTGTCTGTCTCTCTCTCTCTCTCTCGCTATATATTATAAATTAATTGATTTAAAATGTTTTTTTTTCGCTACACAGTTCTAACCATGTTTCAAAAATGGATGCTAAAAGCTCCGAATTTAATTTTGTAATTAAATTAAAGACATTAGTTCCATTTCATCCTCAAGCGAATTTTGGAGTAACTTTTAAAATTACTGGGTTTTAAAGACACAGCAAAAATCATAATTCACGTTTCCAAGGATACAGAGAAATCCAATTCAACCAGACAAGGGGTGTCTGCGTGTTCATTATGTCTCTATTTTGATGTATCAGTTATTAGTTACGTTTTGGATGTATTTTTCAATGAAATCTGACATCCGTTAAATGCATGTCGTCTTGTTTTTTTTTTAAATTTTATTGTTAACGGTAAAAATTCTTACGGCATTTTTTCTATTTGTATATTTAAAGATTTCTGGGGGTGTTTAGGTTAGAATACGTTTTATTTAACTACGATTTGAAAAATATTTTCACTTTTAATTTATATATCTGTTCTTTCTTTCTTTCTTTATATATATATATATATATATATATATATATATATATATATATACACACACACACAGAGGGTGCGATGAGTAAATTGTCGCCATTTTGTATCTTTATTTTCACCCTTTGCGCTTTGTCTTTTTTTATTTATTTTGTCGACTGCACAGAACAGAAAGGTCAGTTTGAAACCGTCTATGAGGAAAAAAAAATCACCTTAACGCAATTCACTCAGCCTGAAATTTGGAAACGGCGTGCTGTTCTGCTTGGCGTTTGCACCAGAAACGTCAATACAAGCATTTCAGAGTTTTGGGTGTGAATCTGAGAAAAGCTTCGAGGTTTCGGAAAAGGTTTGATGGTTTTAATGATGATTACGAATGTATGGCAGCGCAGAAAAAAATCTCTGGTCGTTCTGATAAGAAAAGAACTTCCGAATCTATTGGTGAGGGCCTAGGACTCAACACTGAGGACTACATCAATTGCCTAGAAAAGATAGAGCTGCCCTGGGTGAAGTGGGTTACTGCTGGAATACCCTGTGTCTGGCAATTGGACTCTGCTACACAAAGAGGAGAACCCATTCATGGTTGTCAAACAATTCCTACAACCCCTTACATCTGGCCACCTAACTCTCCAGATTGCAACTTCTTTGATTATTATGTGTGGAGCGCAGTTAAGCGAGAGACCAACAAAATTCCTTGTAACACCAAAGATGAACTAAAGGCAAGGATTCTGGCAGCACTCACCAACTTAAACGAGCAGACCGTCCAGAAGAGCTGCAGAAGATTCTGAAGTTGTCTGGAAGCCGTGTTTGAAACCAATGGCGATTTTATTGAACAGATGCTATTTTTTTTTTTGTATTTCAAGATATTTTTGCGCAAATTTTGGTAAATATATCTATCAAAATGAGATGTCAGTGTTATTTTCATTTTTGCGTAATTTAGACGACAATTTATCCATCGCACCATGTACATATATGACAAAAGAAATATTTATTATTTGCCTTGATAAGTCCTCATGAGCAGGAACCACATCAGCTAAGTTTTGTTTTATATTTGTCTTCACACACACACACACACACACACACACACACCGAAACATACACACACATATTACATCATCAAAACTTATTATTAATGGTATTTTAAATAGACGCCTAATTTATGTTTTTAATTTAAACACCGTGTATTACAATACGATAAGCTACAAATAGAAAACATTTATAAATTATATATATATATATATATATATATATATGTGTGTGTGTGTGTGTGTGTGTGTGTAACTATTGCATATCGCTACATCAATAAAGGCCTACTTCAAAATCTCGCTGAATGCACCCATCTCAAAATATTTCTACATAAGGTAATACGCACAAGCTCTCTCTCTCTCTCTCTCTCTCTCTCTCTCTCTATATATATATATATATATATATATATATATAGAGAGAGAGAGAGAGAGAGAGAGATAGATAGATAGATAGATAGATAGATAGATAGTGGGTGTAACAGAAAAATTGTCGAAATCGTGTAACAGCATAATTATCCATCCCACAAAATGTTTCATATCTAAAAACTATTAAAGTAATTGAGTTTCTTTTTTACATGTTTCCAGATAAGATGTTTAGCGATCTTGACACAATTTGTCCTAAGAATCATTGAAAAACCATTTGAGTTTTCCAGCTAAAAAGAAATTTGGTCAAAATTGTTTTGTGTCAGACCCACTGTCTTCCCAACCGAGCAATGATGAGAAGAAAATATCATTCAGGCTTTCAATGATGGTACCAAAATTCATACTCTGGTTTCCATTTTCAAAGTTCATTAAAAAACCATCAGTAGAACGGTCAATAAGTTTTAAAAAGAGGGAACAGTAAAGAGGAAAACTTGACCAGGAGGTCAGAACAGGAAGAGAGATCCTCATTTTAACTTAGATCTAAAGAAACCAATTAGAAAAAATCAAAAACAATTCATGAGACTTTTAGCCCTTGAGAGAGGAGATTCAGTTATGACAGTCCAATGAGCAGTCAAAAAAACTTGAAATTGAAATCGTACGTGAAACGTGTGAGGGACCTTGTTGCTCCAAGATAGAAAGCTAGAAAGTTAAAGAGGAGGAAGATCATCTTGAATAAGTTGGAAAATAATCCCGGAATAAGAGTTATATATTCGAACTTTATTTTGATCCTTCCTGAGCTTCCGATCTTTAGCTATGATTAATTAATGAGGAACATGTCATTTCCGTTTATGATCGATATCATCACGATACTTCCGTTAAGCTTTGAGAGTAATTATACATTATTATTTCTCAAAGTAGAGTCGAATAGTGTTAAAAAACCTCCCGGAGAATTGCAGTAAGATATCTTTAATCATTTCTAAAATACAACGGATAAAAGCTTAATTTAACAATTGGACAATTCTGCTGTTCTAAGAGTTGAACAATTTTGCTGTTACACAAGGTTTATATATATTATACAGCTTTCCTTGATTCTTTTACTATCACCGATGTTAAAAAGCAAAGTACCTACATGTGTGATTGCTTGGTAAGACCAGTTGCTGTAGGCTTAAATGTGCGAGTTCTGTAATAGATACTGACTCGTTATTGAAAATTTGAAGAGCAGATTTCTAATTCCAGTCGGGTATTTTATATTAACTTACGCGTAGATACCGTTGGGGACATTATGAATCTGTCTCTTATCATCCAGCTATGGGTTAATTCGTAGGTCTTGTATGGGTAGATCGCAGAAAAATTCTTAGAATCTAAAAATATTTTCTGCAAAAGATTGCTAAGGTGTACAAAAATAGGGGATTATATCAGGTTTAATTGAAGATGAGTGACCAGCTTAAGAAAAAAAAAAAAAAACGCTCCAGAAACCATCAGTTCTGTCCAAAATATGCATTAATAGCAGGGTGAGACCAGTCACTCTAGAGTTGATTGGTAACCAGTTTTGGAGAAAGTCAATTCTGCATTGTAAATTGGTTCAGCGTGCTTTAGTAAATCCGTAAAAAAAAGAAAGTTGCTCCAGAAACTAGAGCAGCGACCATTCGAATGGTTAGGCTTGGGTTTTATCCTCCAGTAGAGAATTAATATTAATTAGCATTAATATAATATAATATAATTAATATCCTCCAGTAGAGAATTAATATTAATTAGCATTAATATACCCATTCTTTATCTATCTCTCCCTTTCTCATTATGGTCATCTCTCTCGCTCTATCTGTCTACTCATTCTCATTTCTTTCTTTCTTTCTTTCTTTCTTTCTTTCTTTCTTTCTTAGTATGTTCATCTCTCTCTCTAGCTCTGTCAGTTAATTTATTTAAGTTTGTTCATCATTCTCAATCTCCAGTGTGTTCATATCACTATATTTTTCTTATTCCGTTTCTTTCTCTCCATCTCAGTCTATTCAGTTCTCTCTCTCTCTCCTCCCCCCCTCTCTCTCTCTCTCTCTCTCTATATATATATATATATATATATATATATATATAGTTCAATATGTTCATCACTCTATCTGTCTATTTATCTCTAAGTTTGTTCATCTCTCTGAATCTCAGTCCGTACACATCTCTATATCTTTCTCGTTTTGTTCATCCCTCTCCATCTCCGTCTATTCAGCTCTCTCTCTCTCTCTCTCTCTCTCTCTATCTATATATATATATATATATATATATATATATATATATATATATATATATAGTTCATATATATAGTTCATCACTCTATCTGTCAGTTCATCTCTCTGAATCTCAGTCCGTACACATCTCTATATCTTTCTCGTTTTGTTCATCCCTCCCTATCTCTGTCTACTCAGCTCTCTCTCCATCATCCTTTCTCCGCCTTTCTCCCTCTCTCTCTCTCTATCTATCTATCTCAATATGTTCATATCTCTATATGTCAGTTCAATTATCTCTTAGTCTATTCATCTTTCTTTTTCTTCTTTCTTTCTTTCTTTCTTTCTTTCTTTCTTTCTTTCTATCTATCTATCTATCTATCTATCTATCTCAGTCTAGCATTGTCACGCATTTTTTATTTTTTGTGTGCAAAAAGCATTCATCACCTCTCTTCATAAATGCCTATTGACACGCATATCCCTATGAATTTTTTTTCCTATCTGGCTCGAACAATCGAATATATTTTGAGCAATATCGATCAGCATAATTCCTTGCCAGAAGCGATCATTTCTTTTTCTAATTTTGCTTCAACAGTCCACGGGAAGGAATCCAGGCGACTTACTCATGAAAGGGACCTTTAAAAAAAGAAAAGATGAGAGGAATTGAGGTAGGTAAAAGGCCTTCACTATAGTAGCCGCTGTCAATAAATTTTCGGCTATAATGGGATCAACTAGAGAAAAATTCCTGTTAAAAAAAATGAAGGAAGTAAAAAAGAAAGAAAATAAGAAAGAAAAGCTGTCCAAAGTCGAAAATAAGTTTTCTATTTTTAAGGAAAGGAGAGAGGGCATAGGACGGTAGTGTTTGGGTTATGAAAGTAAATGGAGACTAATGTGACGTGTTAAGTGCTCAGGAAAAGTGGAAAGCTTCTCTATTCCCTCAAGAGGTCGTAAGGGATCGAGACAAAATTGATGTTTAAATGGTAGAAAATGTCCTCGCAAAGATCAAGGTACAAGTATATTTTGTAAAATCTCACAAATAGTTACATTCATTCTTTCTTTCTTTCTTTCTTTCTTTCTAAGATTTTTAATCTATCTATCTAAGATTTTTAATCTATCTATCTACAGCAGCTTGCTTTCTTAATCTGTTCATATCTATCTATCTATCTATCTATCTATCTATCGCAGCTTTCGTCTTAATCTGTTCATATCTATCTATCTATCTATCTATCTATCTATCTAAGAATTTTAATCTATCTATCTATCTATCTATCTATCTATCTATCTATCTATCTACAGCAGCTTTCTTTTTTAATCTATCTATCTATCTATCTATCTATCTATCTATCTATCTATCTATCTATCTATCTATCTATCTGTTGTGGCTTTGTTAGGACCACAAATAAAGACACAAAGAGAGGAATTTAGTTAAACAAATATATTAACAGAAACAGTAATACAAACATATACAAACGAGAGTGTTACGACAATCATGTTCAGTCCGACTGTCACAGCTAATTGCTGGAAACTTCCCTCTCACCAAAAAGGCAGTATCTGCTCGTATTTATAGCTAGTAGAGTCCATTCGTGCTTGTGTAAATTACCATAGCACTATCGCTTTGGTTCGAAATGTGTTCCTCACTCTTATGCAATATATAAAATTTCTGTATATTGTAATAGACAATATTAATGTGTATAAGTGTGAAACACTTTCTTTTTCTCTGTATACCTACTTTGTATAACGAAACTCTTTTATGTTGAAAGTTGGTTGTTGATAAAAGGAGGAGGTTTCTTTCAGAGAATACAGAGAGAGAGAAGTTTTCTTTCGGGGAACATATCCTGTGTGTTGGTACACGTATCTTTTAGTTCTCGCTCTGCGAGGCAATACTTACACACGATACTCGGGGCAATGGCTGGTTACTCGTTCGTCGAGGCAATGCTGCTTCTTTTATGCGACATGTCCCTTCAGGTCGTAGGTGATCATGGCTGGCCACATCTTCCTGTTCCTTGTAGGTCTATAAGTTTTTTCTTTTTGTTATTTCTTCCAAGCCGTGTTCTAACATCCATTTGCTGAAGCCCATCAAATATTTTTCGCGCTAATTTCTTCTGTCTCTCGTTCCCCCAATCTGTCCTGTGAGTATCAGTTTTATGATCCGGTTCCTTGTACCACGGTGATAGTCCAAGGTAGAACTAATAAAGAAGAACTCGAACACGGATATGGAATAACACAGATATATTACAAACAGGAATATATACAGAGAAGTAGAAAGTGTTAGTACGAACAATCAGGTTTAGTAGTAATTGTCTGAACGCGATTCTGTTTCGGACTGCCTCTGACTCGACTGACTGACTCGCTCGCTCTGACTGACTGACAGACTCCTGACGGACTTCAGACGGACCTCCCTCCAGACTTCAGACTGAACGGTATTTAGTCACCCCGCAACGAGGGCATCATGTGGCACAAGGCCGGTTTAACGTGGGATCTCCGAGCCCGTGGGCTCGGCCAAAAATATGCCCTTTGAACCCGTATAAACGGGTTCAGCGTCGGTTTACCTCCTCGAAAGTGTCTCCGCCCTTCGGCGTAGCCTCGTTCGGGTTTCTCCCCGCCCGAAGGCAGATAGTTCAACCGATCAGCCAGTCACCTGATTTCGGACTGAACGCCCTGCTTCCTTTTGAGGCGCAGTATTTATTACGTATGGAATCGTCCATTATGTTATTATGGGTAAGGTCCCATAACAATCAGGTTTTTCAAACCCCCCTTCTTTATTACGGGGTTCAGAAATCCTATTCTCCCGAAAACCTCTTCGTTGCTCACATGTTCGGTCCATGGTATTTCTGTAGAACCATATTTCTGTTACTTCAAGTCTCTTCTTCATCTTTGAAGAGATTGTACAGTATTCATATAGGAGGACAGATATCACGTAACAGTCGAATACTCTTTCCTTTGTTTCGAATGTTTTTTTTTCTGTTTCTTATTAGTGTGCTTAACTTTTTGGTATGCATCTTTGGCCAGGACTGATACAACTAATAAGGTCAAATATTATAAAATGTCATGCCAGTCACTTATTTTCAATCTTGATTCAGATATTAAATTAATCACATTATATATGATACACACACACACAAATATATCTCTATCTCCATCTATTTATATACATACATATATATATATACATTTATATATATATATATATATATATATATATATATATATGTGTGTGTGTGTGTGTGTGTGTGTGTGTGTGTGTGTGTATGTTTGTGTGTAGTCACACTATAGGACAAAAGTATGGGTCACCGCTGAATTTTTAAGAATTGCATAAACATTGAAGGGTTCATGCCTTTTTCAAAACTAGCTCACTTTCTCTTTTTGAAGGTTTTTTTTTTATCACATATTCAATAATTTTAACAATAATCAAGAAATTAATCCATTAAAGTAAAAACAATGCCCAATCAGTTTGGAATGCAAGTTTATTTTTAACGGATACTCATCCACGTTGAACTAGTTTTAGAGGCAGAATTGTCTAAAAATTCATAGGGATATACATGTCAATATGCATATAGGAAGAGATAGGATGGACACTTTTTACACACAAAACATATAAAATAAGAGACTATCTGAGACTGGGATAGATAGATAGATAGATAGATAGATAGATAGATAGATAGATAGATAGATATGGAGACAATGAGACACAGGCAGAGAGATAAATTAACTGGTTCAGATAGAGATATGAACATACTGAAATAGATATAAAGATAGATAGATAGATAGATAGATAGATAGATAGATAGAGAGAGAGAGAGAGAGAGAGAAAGAGAGAGAGAGGGTGTCAGAGATGAATAGACTGAGATAAAGCGAGATGAATAGAATGAGAAATATATAGAGTTATGAACAGACTGAGATAGAGAAAGATGAACGGGCTTAGAGATAATTCAGATAGAGGGATGCACATACTGAAATAAATAGATAGATCGATAAACACACACACACACACACACACAGAGAGAGAGAGAGAGAGAGAGAGAGAGAGAAAGAAAGAGAGAGAAATGAAGGGATAACATACAGAAATAGGGAAAGAGAGAAATGAAGAAACTTAGATTGTGAGAGAGAGTAATTGATTGTCACAGATAGAGAGAGATGGACATACTTAGATCGATAGATAGATGGATGGAAAGACAAATGAATAGACTGAGATAGATATGTTCAACAGCAAGGCCTCTTATCACGAGGTTTTGAGTAGCGTGGAACCATCTCTTAATTGCTGGTCTTCCCAAGTCCACCCTGACTCGGGGAGGTAGCACCTCCTAGGGTCTCAGCTATGGGCAAATAGTTAATCCCCAAACTGGGGTCAAAACACCATGAAAGTGTAAAAATAGATTTTAATACCAGAAATACTTTTCGTAAAAAAATATTGCCAGCAATACATTTTTGAAGAAAAAAAATATTACCAAAAATAGATTTATGAAGGAAAAAAATATTAGCAGCAGCAAAAGTTTTGTCGGCATTAAGTTACACATTGAGATTGATATGCCGTAAAACAAACCCAACTATCGTTAAGAATCTATTTCAAAATTTTGTTGGCATTAAATGACCCACTGAGGTTTTGATATGCCATAAAGCAAAACAACCAACCAACCAGAAATAGATTTTTTGAAAAAAATATTGCCAACAATGAAAATTTTGTCAGTATTAAATAACCCATTGAGGTTGATATGCCATAAAACAAAATAAACCAAATGAAACCAAATAGAATTATTAAGAGTGATACGAGCAGATTGAGACAGATTATTTCTATTTAAAATAAATGTAAAAATGTTAAGAAATGGTGCTCTTTATAAAGGAATGACTGTTACCAACATACATCTAAATTCTTGATCCTATTTTTAAAATTGTTGTGTCGGAAACCTACCACCCCTCTTGAAGATGAACTTGTCTGCGTCTGTGAACAAAGACTTTAAATAGTGGCATGTCAGTTGGCATGGGGAAAGACAGATAGACCGAGAAGTTCTTAGCTGAGCTAGTTATTGACTACTCAGGTGATTTCTGTACCTTTTTACCAACCTATTAAAACCCTTTTTATTGTTACGTGTTATTTGGCATTTGTCTCTACTAACCCCAAATCAACATCATAACAAAAATAATTCTCAGCCTTTGATGTGATAAACTATTCAAGCTCTGCAGTTTTTTGTCATTTGAGTGAGAAGCGTGCGACCATGCGTTATCGTGCAGCAAAATTGCGCCATCCCTATTCACAAGCCGAGGATGTTTCTTTTTTTATCAATTTTTCTTGCATGCACCCAATTTCTACCCAATACGAGGTTTGCTGTTATTGTTTTCCCTTGAGGCAATGATGAATAATGAATAATCTCTTTGAGGTTTCAGGTATAGTTTTTGCAATTCACTTGCATCTAACCAATGATCTAGTCACTTACATTTGTCAAAGAGTATCCATTCCTCATCGCATGTAATGATTCGATGTAAAAAAAAGAGCACACTTAGTTTTTTGAGTCAGTTCATGCGGAACAAACCTATCCAGTTTCTTTACTTTTCCAATTGCTTTCAAGTGCCGAGAAACAGATGTGTGAGATATTTCGAGATCTGATGCAAGTTTTCGGACTGTAATTCTCGAATTTTAGTCAAACAAAACATTCAATTGATCTAGTCTGATAACCAATCGTGTTCTTTCCCTTGATTTATTTTCAAGACTATAAACTTCTGAACAAAACTTCTGTACAATTCCGAGTTCAACAATACCATTACCAAACGCCACCTTGACATTGTGAAATGCTTCACAGGCAAAATGATCCAGCTTTGTAATCATACAGTAAGATTACTCAATATTGTTTCATTGTAATCATTTTGATTGGGCATATGAGTAACAATATGTTGAAAGAAAAATTATCTGGAAAAAACAATAGTCAGTAATAAGTGTAAAGTTTTTTTTATATATACTAAGGAAGTTACTTCGTTAGAGGACAGGATCAACAACCAACCAAAGATTCGTTATTTCATGTTTAGCAACCTCATAAATGTTGACCATGTTCACTATAGTCTAAGAATATAGAATACAGCGCAGTACGTAATTTGTTCAATGAAACAACGTTAAAGATTAACACTCACGATTCAGACACTCTACTCAATCTGAATATTCGGGAAAAAACATGGCCGCATTTATACACGTCGCATTGAATATTTTGAGCCTTCTGATTGGTTAACTCTTCTATTGGTGAACTATAAAATGAGTCAGCTCATTTCAGCTGGCTCACTAGTACACCAGCTTAACCCGAAAACTCCAACAATAAATACATATAAATACAGTGTTCTGTCTAAAGAGACTGAGGTTAATCTACCTCGTTGACTAATGTTAATGTTAGAGCTGGCTAACCTAAAATTT